AAAAATAAATATTTTGAAAAGCTTTCCAGCTATAAAATAGCTATATTTTATAGAAATGGCCAGAAGGAGCTTCTAAAAATTGAGATTAATATTAAAAATAACTTGATAAGCACTGTCAAATCAAAATACAATGAGCCACAGAGAATTTTCTGTTTTCCAGCAGTTACATTGAAAATGTCAAATTAAATAGGTAAAATTAAATGATATATTTTACTAACAATTGAAAGATAGATTCAAAATATGATTTGAACATGTTGTACTATGTATGTTTCACTTGTTTAGTGGCAACATGTAACTAGTATTAATCATATTAGGCAGTAGAGTCTAAGATTTTGCATAAATTACTACAGACACTCCTTTAAATGCTTAGCAAACTGTAGACAAATTAAACTGAAAAATAAAAACCAAAAGATGGAGTTAATTCAATGAACATTTTAGGAGATGTTGCCTTTTTGGGGCAACTTGATTTCATTCAGTTTTTACAGCTCTGCAGGAATCAGGCTATTCAGTCTTGGACTAACCCAGTTGATGAGACCATTTCAATCCAGAAAGAGATAAAAACAAAAAGCAGGCAAGGTGAAACACTGAGACAGTGAGAGGGACAGAGAGAGAATGAGCCCATGTGCTTGTATGCACACACATAGAGCAACGGGATGGATGGCAAGGGAGTTGGGGAGCAGGGTCCTCCATTTTAAGTTGTGCCCCGTAGCAGAGATCACTACAGACTACAGCGGTCATAGTGTGAAACCCAGAGACAAGAATTCATCCATTTCCACCTTTCAGAAAGTCCCACTTCTCCAAAGAAAGCAGACTTGAAATCAGTCACTTCAGAGAAAATGGAGCTCAATTCAGCTAAGGCATTGGGGTGGTGCTAGAGTTATTTCCTGGCAGTACCTTAAATATGTAGAATGTGCACTAGTTATACGGTGAATTCACACAGTACAACACGGAGTGGGAGATGGGATGGTTGCAGGCGGGAGGGAGGTTATAGGGGGAAAAAGCCACTATAATCCAAAAGTTGTACTTTGGAAATTTATATTTATTAAATAAAAGTTTTTAAAAAATGTAGAATGTGGGGCCAGCGCTGTGGCGCAGCGGGTTAACGTGCTGACCTGAAGCACCAGCAACCCATATGGGTGCCGGTTCTAGTCCCAGCTGCTCCTTTTCCTATCCAGCTCTCTGCTATGGCCTAGGAAAGCAGTAGAAGATGGCCCAAGTCCTTGGGCCTCTGCACCCACGTGGGAGACCCGGAAGAAGCTCCTGGCTCCTGGCTCCGGATGGCTCAGCTCCGGCTGTTTTGCAGCCATCTGGGGAGTGAACCAGCGGATGGAAGACCCCTCTTTCTGTCTCTACCTCTCTAACTCTGTCTTTGAAATAAATAAATCTTTAAAAAAATGTAGAATGTGATTTTGCCTAAGAAGTACCTAAAAGAAAAGCCAGATCCTTTGCCCTGGGTTCCTCAACTAGGAAGTATATACTATCTCGCATGGAAGGGACTCAATTCTTGAGCCGTCCTCTGCTGTCTTCCCAGGTGCAGCAGCAGGAAGCTGCACTGGAAGCAGAGTAACCAGGACTTGAACCAGGCACTCCAATATGGCATGTAGCCATCGCAAGTGGCAGCTTAAGCTGCTGCACTACAAGGTCCTCTCAAAGAGTAGTTCTTAAATAATGTGTAAGTATAAACTTCATAATAATTTACTTTTGATACACTAATAATATTCAATTAACATCATAATTAAGCTCACAAAAAGGATATTTACGTTTAGAAAGTTTCCCAACATCTGTTTCTCAGTTTCCCAATTCCACTCACAGTAGCCATGTATCTCTAAGTGTCACATCTTCAGAGACAACTTTATACCAAGTTAGGCCTTACAGTTATTTTCAGATTCTTCCTTATATCTGACAAGTTTTTTACCTAAAATGTTACTACCCATTTTCACAGATATTTTTTCATGGAGTGGTTTTATTTGCTGCTTTCCAAGTATATGAAAGCTGTGATACACATTTCCTTTGTATCATTTTGTTTTGGCATCTGCTTAATTTCCAAATATAATGATATATAAAAAGTGCTAGCTTAATTTAATATACAAACATCACAGAAGTCTCTATCCAGAAGAAGCCATCAATAGGACCAACACAACACTTCCAAACATTCCACAAAGCTGATTCAAACAATCAGAGAAATTAACATTTATTATTTAATAATGGTTGGATACTATTTCAAATTGAAAATGTAACTGGTTTAGAGTATTGTTATAAAGCTTTTGAGGGAAGCAAAGCTGATTTTACAGATGGGCAAAGGCCACCTAATATCGTCTACCACTTAGTTATTTGCTTGACAGCTAAATCCTCTCATTTACCCAGGTTATTGACACACGCGTCACATTATGTTACTAACCTTGAAATTTTCCAAGAGATTGTTCCATTCTGCAAATATAGAACCACATTAGGGAGAAGACTTGAAGGCTACCCACTTTGTTCCCAATACTCACAAATTCTTCAATTTGGTTCAAATGAGTCTTTAACTCAAAATTATACTGTAAATTGAATACTTCAACACTGTTGGAAAACACTGGGAAATTTATGGATTCCTGAGTAAGGCAGCTGGGTCTGAGGTTTGGCTCCAATCCTATCCACCACAATGCCACAAATCCAGCAGCTCCTCAGTTACTCTTTCCTTACGTTATTGGTTTTCCCTCTCAGCTAGGAGAATGGACTCCACTCCATGAGGAAGGAGGTGCTACTGAAAATATTCTTTCAATCTGGGAAAACCAGTAGGATATTTTAGATAATTGATAAAGAATAAAGGCAAGGTGAATGACTGATAGAACGCGAACTATCATGGGGGCAAAGAGAAGCATTGCAGATTATCTATATAACCACTTATTTATCTATAAACGTGTCTGTTTTGAAAGAATACTCATATCATCCACAAAACACCTATGACACGGGTACTGTTATTCCACTTTTAAGAGATGAGAAAAGTGATGCTCAAAGAGGTCATGTATTTTTCCCAGAGACAACAAGACTAACAATGTTAGACTCAGAGCTTGAAGATGAAAGTTACTCGTGCTCAATCCTATAACGCGCCCAATCCCCTAAGAGGATCAAAAAGTATGAGTCCGATTATTGCATGTGGATGGGGTCCTGAGTGAAGAATCAAATCAGACTCAAAGTTTTTAAATGCTAATATTAAGAAAAATTAAAGTCAGAGAAGGAACTGATACTGTACAAGAAATGTAAGCAGGAGATCCATAGAATATTTAACATGGAACACACTGCGTTAAAGTGGGACTGGACATCCCAAAGGGAGCTTCCAATATGCTGCTGGAAATACTGAGTTGGAGACTCTCAGGCCTGACTCCACGTACAGTGAGACTGGAGGCTATAACAAGGCATATAAATTCTGGATAGGACACTTTCAGGTAGAAGTCACCAACAGAACCTGCTAAACATCTCTCTTTAGGCAAAAAGAATAAGTAAATGAATGAAATATACAGATAGTGATGAAGTAGGCAGAGATATGAAAAAGACTGTCAGGTTCATAGTGTTTTCTATTTATATTTGTTTACATATAAAAACTAATACCAGTGAGGAAATATAACCTTTCAACAACATCCAAAAATAAAATGACTTAATCAGGATTCCAAGTTAATTTTGTGAGACATGTGGGAAAAAGGGTACCCTACTGCACTGTTGGTGGGAATGTAAACTAGTACAACCATTTTGGAAGACAGTAGGGAGATCCCTCAGAAATCTGCAAAGAGAAATACTTTAGCTTTTTTAAGGAAAATATACAGTTCATTATCATTATCTATTTCCATCTTATTGTACAACAGAATACCAGAATCTCTTAATTCTAACTACAATGGAATATTATTTAACCACAAAAGGATGAAATCTTGTAATTTGCAACAACATAAATGGAGTTTGAGGCCACTATGTTAAGTGAAATAAGCCAAGCATAGAAATAGAGGAACCATGTGATCTCAATCATATGGGGAATCTAAAAAATAATCTCACAGAAGTTAAGAATAATCTTAGTCTCTTGACTCCTGGTTTAATTTTTTCAAAAGTGTTAACCATAGCACAATACTTTACCTATTTTACTATACCTAGGTCACACTTATCACGGACTTTGCCTGAAAGTCCTCTAACCTATATTTTCATCCACCTGTGGTCTAGACAGAATCTGCATGACTTCCTGCAAGAAGTAGTAACAGGGAGAAATGATTAAAGATATATACCTCTGAGTATAAATAATATGCACTTTAGTTAACTTTCAGAATTATACAATTTTACTTCCTGAATCTCAATATTCAAAGAATCTACTATGTTACTTAGCAGAGACTTACCATAGTTTTTCTATTATCTGCTGCTTTACTTACGAGCTTTTCTCTTCTCCTTTAGAACCTGAAATTCTTGAAGATGTAGACTGCTTTATGTGCTGTAGTTTTTTACAAGAGATAGCATAGCATGGTGTAGAGTATACATGGCATAATGAATGCATAATTTTTGAAATCCTAATACTGATACAAAATGTGAGAAAGCTTTGGAACAAATTTTCCAAAGGTATGTTTTAAGCAGTCATGATTCAATTGCCCCATGGAAAATGTTGTGTAAAATCAAATTATTTTTACATTTTTTGACACCTGCTTCATGCTTAATTCAAACAGGCAATTCTGAATACAGCAAAACTAAGTTAAAGAGAAATTCAGGTAATAAGCATACTAGTGATTTCTTTATCATTTTCTACAAATAAAAAGATAAAGCATCCTCATTATAGATGAGGTGGGCAAAGCAAAACTGAAACAGAAAAAAAATCACTAATAACCCCACTATCAATGCATAGCTACAGATGATAATCACTTTATTCTTTTTTATACTCATAGACACACATATTTTTACACAGTAGAGTTGAAAATGCATGTGTATTTTGTACAGGTTAAACAACATGCTATATTTGTTTCTAAAAATCCATCAAAACATTATTTTAAAACATGAATAATAACTCAGTATGCAAGAACTACAAAAAATTCATAGGAAACTCATCTCTGGAGCAGAACACGGGAACGGGTCGAAGTACAAAGATGTCCGGCTCAGAGGACTTCCTTCAAGGCAAATATAACAAGACATCACAGAGGAAAAGAACCGTATTCACTGATGAACAGCTGGAAGACTTGAACATCTTGTTCAGTAAGAACCCGTACCCAGACCGTGACCTTCAGGTAGAAGTAGCCTCCAAAATGAACATAGACCCCACGGTGGTGCAGGTCTGGTTCAAGAACCACAGAGCAAAACTCAAGAGAGCAAAATCCACTCAAGTTCCACCCCCGCAGGAAGCTCAGCACCAGACACCCCTGGAGGACCCAGTCACACCCGACTCCTTCCAGGCGCCAGTGGAAGCACCAGCCAGATACCATGACGCCTACCCCCAGGGCCTCACTTACCCGCACCTCAGCATCTACCCCAGGCTCAAAGTCCCCAGGAACCCCTCTGGAGGACACCAAATCATCCACTTCGGCTGCTGCGAAGACACCACCATATACAACCTCTACCCGCTCTGGGACCCCACGGTGCAGCCAGGACCCGGCTCTGCCGCTGCCTCTTTCTTTGCACAAAGCAGACAGAACCAGAACGATTTCCAGACACAGAAATAACTTCCAGCCATAAAGAACAAACAACGATATGGTGGCTGGGTTTCAAAAACACCCTGGGGCCGGTGCTGGGGCTCAGTGTGTTAAAGCCCTGGCTTGCTCCAGTTCGAGTCCTGGCTGCTCCACTTCCATCCAACTCCCTGCTAATACACCTGGGAAGGCAGCAGAGGACAGCCCAAGTCCTGAGGCCCCACATCCATGTGGAGACCTGGAGGAGGCACCTGATTCCTGGCTTCAGCCTGGCCCAGTCCCAGTCATTGTGTCCAATTGGGAAGTAGACCAGCAGATGGAAGACTCTCTCTCCTTTTCTCTTTCAAATAAATAAAATGAATCTTTAAAAAAAAATTCATAGGAAAGTAAAATTTAGAGATAAATTCAAATACTTTATACACAGGTTAGGGGTCAAACTCAATTAAGTCAATGATTTTCTCCAACTGATAGGGCAAACCTGATCATTCATTTGGCACCTATAACATAGGATAGTCTTTATTAATTCATCTTCTTGATAATTACCTTTCAAAGACGATAATTAAAAATGACTTCCACTCTGAGTTATTTTGCTGTGAGACCGCAAAGTTTTGTGTCAGCTGGTGGGTTTGGGTTGATTGACTCTTCTCAGATGCAAATTATATAACTGTGAGGTTAGAAAGCTGGGTTGTGGCTATGAAACTGTCTCTCCATATGCTTCGCTCAGATTCCACAAACCTCACCACTCTAGCCTTCTTCATTCTTAATAAGTTATCACTATCTATAGTGTTTGCAGGACTGAGAAGATGATGTTACTGTAAGAAACAGCATATGCTGCATACAAACAGGTCAATAACCAGCTCATTTTGATATATGTCAAAGCTTATTTTATCCAGGGACACAGTTTATCTGTTTTCAAAAATCCATTTTCAGGGGAATCCTGCAGGCTAAATCATAACATCATTCCAGTTAGGCAGAGAAAATAGCTTCAGCTACAATCTGCCTGATTGCATTCAAAGCACATACATGTTTGCAATCAAGTTCTCCCCCAGATTATACATATTTCTGCTCTGTCTGAGGAAAAGAAACATGAGATGCTTTCTGTGTAATTGCTAGATTGCGAATCTAGCTTGAAACTGTACCTAAAGGATCAACGAGTTTTCCATTTGAAAATGTCAGTATTAGAAAAGGGTAATTTTGCTTTAAAATTGCACTTAATGATTTTTCTGGTTACAAAAATAGCATTTGCTACAGAAAATTAAGAAAAAGGCATCAATAAAAATTATAAATGACTTCTAATCTTATAACCTAGTGAAACAATTGTTATTTATAATACAAAATCCATGCACGCAAGGACATCTTCAGAGTTCATGGAAAATGTCTAGTATGGAAAACCTATGCATAGATCTCAAAATATTCTGCAACAAAGTTTTACCTTTTAATTCTATTTTCCACATTCTAAAGCACCCTAGTACCTCGTGAACATTCTGCATATGCAGCACATTTTACATACAACTCTTTTTTTTTTTTTTTTGACAGAGTGGACAGTGAGAGAGAGAGACAGAGAGAAAGGTTTTCCTTTTCCCATTGGTTCACCCTCCAATGGCCACTGCAGCTGGCACACCACGCTGATCCGAAGGCAGGAGCCAGGTGCTTCTCCTGGTCTCCCATGGGGTGCAGGGCCCAAGCACTTGGGCCATCCTCCACTGCACTCCCTGGCCACAGCAGAGAGCTGGCCTGGAAGAGGGGCAACTGGGACAGAATCCGGTGCCCCGACCAGGACTAGAACCTGATGTGCCGGCACCGCAAGGTGGAGGATTAGGCTATTGAGCCACAGCACCGGCCCATACAACTCTTCTTAATTTTTCATAGTGACTGATGTTTTCTCTTGGCTTTCATAAGAATATATAGAACTTATTTAACTGATACTGTACTTTTGAAGTTGAGTTCTTATCTATTTCCTGTAACTACAAATAAGACTATAACTAGCATTTTGTATAGCTCTGTTTCTCTAAAATAAATTTCTAGGAACAATAAATGTAAAAAAAGGAAATGAACAGTCTAAAGTATTTTGACATATATTCCTATATTGCCATTTAAATATATAATTAGTTGACACTGAAACTGTACTCATGTTACCATAGCCATAGCACCAGCCTATACCAAAGACAGTATCCATGCCATCTTCTTGCATCTGTCTGCCTAGGACACTCTCCTGTCCCAGAACCCTGTTCGGTCCACTGGTGGGACAAGCAAGAAGTGTGTGGAGAACAATGAGAATTACTCTCATCTGTTTAGGATCAGCAGTTCATATATAAATTCCCTAGATGCTTTTACCTCTTCATGTGATGCCTTGGAGTTTGATTTCATCGTCTCTTGAGGATCTGCTGCAGGATTGAATTCCATCTCCCACAATTCACTGGTGCTCCTTGTTTTGCCTTTATTCCCTTCCCTGTCTCACTTTCTCATCCCCTTGCAATGATTCCTGAGACCACTTCCTGAAAAAAGTACTTATATCCAAACCCCCTGATCTGAGTCTGCTTTTGAGGGAACCCAAACAAAAATGAACTCCCATTTTCTCTTCTAGATTCAGGCTAACTTCATTCACGGAAAAAGATTAATAAAGATTAATATAGGATTGATAATACCTGGGGACTGAGTGACTATTCTAGAGAACTGTGAAGTGGTGGGGAAGTAAAGGTCTTAGAACACTAACAGGGTAGTTTACATTTTTAAGTAGCCTAAACACCATCAAAAAACTGCTCTTTAGTCAATGCAAAATCGAATTCACATATTTATATCATAATTCTCTATTTAAAAATGAAAATTCTAATAACATGCCTATTTAGACTACAGTATTAAAGGTCTCGGGGTCCTTTTTGTGCCTGGCAGAGGAGTTAAGAGAGCCCAATCCAAAGAGAATGTATCTTGTTTGTGTTTGGCAAATCTATTTCTTTATCATGTGAGTAACTCCTAGATGAATAATATAGTATGAACTAAAAGGGAGGATTGCAGAGGAGGAAAGTGACAAGGATGGAAAACGCTCTCTGACCAGATTTATATGGTAGCTAGATACAAAGGAGTGGCACTGTTGGTTGTTTATGAGGACAAAGACACAAACAGAACATTAGATGCTAGCCATTAGTGCTGTCCCAAAGAATTTTCCGTGATGACGGAAATGTTTGATATCTACACGGCCCAGTGCAGTAAACATTTGTAGGGTTAATGAGCACTTGAAATGTGGCTAGTGGGGGAGGCATCTTGTGTAGCAGTTAAGTCACAGCTGGGAATGTCTTCTTCTCAGCGGGGGTGCCTGGGTCTGAGTCCTGGCTTGGCCTCTGACTTTAGCTTCCTGGTAAAGAGCACCGTAGGAGGTAGCAGGTGATGGCTCAAGCAGTAGGGTCCCTGCTATTATTTGAGGACACCTAGATTCAGTTTCTGGCTCCTAGTTTCAGCCTGTTTCAGCCCTGGCTGTTGTAGATATTTGGGAAGTGAATTGGCAGATGGAACATCTCTGTCTCCCTCTCTCCCTCTCTCCTTCTTTTTTTCATTTCTAATTTTGAAAAAAAAAAATAAAAAAAAATTTAAAAAGCAGTGTGGCTAGTGTAACTAGTATAACTAAAGAACTAACATATGAATCTCAATGAATGTAAATTTAAAGAATTACATTGGCTAGCGGTTATCCTATTGGACAATGGAAATATAGGCCCTACACTGACTATAACACACTCTACTTTCCAATCTGTGTTGTGAACCGAATTATAAAAAATGTTCTGTTCTACAAGAGCTACTTTAAATTCTTCCGCTGTGTATGCTGGAGGGTGGGGGTGGGAGGGAGAGATAAAGACATTAGTAATAATATCCAGTATTCAGGGCACTATGAATCAGCTACTCTTCTAAGCATGTGACGGATTCTAACTAGTTTAAATGTCATCACAACCTTCTAAAGCATATGCCGATATTACTTCCCTTTCACAACTGAGCAAGCTGATGCGTGGAGAGGCGAAATGACTAAATCACACAGCTAGGGAACTTCAGAGCTGGCAACTCAACCAGTCTGTGCTCCCAATCACTAGGCCACACTAGCTTGAGGGCTTCAGGGTTTAGCAAGAGGACTACTTCTCATCACCCAACATATAACAAAAAAGCAATGCTAAATCATGTGCCTTGTTATGAGCAAAGCAAGTCTCCCTGCATCTTTCGGGCTTAAAAAATATTTGGGTGCTTTGGTTTGCTAAATAGACCAATTCTACTTAAAAACATTCCGCAACAGCAAAATGTGAAAGAAGTCTTTCCTTCTGATCCCAACTGATGGCTTCCTGGATGAATATCTATTTTTATTGCTCTGGCTGAAGGAAATAAAAAAGATAACTCACACATTAAGTTCTCTCTTGGATCTCTGCTGTGTTGCTCTATCACACACTTTTTGTTAGAACTTGCACTGAAAGAGTAGAGAATTAGCAATGGAAATCCACAAAGAAATTTACAAAGAAGAAAACGCTACATTTCTTGATGGAGTTGACAGGATGGTGAGGTGGTATATTCCAGTTTAAAAGGAAATACAAAGTCAGAGGTGGAATACTGAGGAAAATTGTGGAAATGATGGATTTTAATGTTTGGTCCCTGACAAGATTTGGCTGAACCAGGACAAGTGCGAGGAAAATCCTTTCACATCCATGTGAGGGACTCAGGCATAAATACTCAGGCAATCTTACTGCTTCTAACTGATTCTAAATGAACCTGAGTCTACTTTTCAGTCAGCTGCTTGGGACTGCCTCTGAAACAACAGGTTCAACAGCTGCGAGATGGCTCTCAAGGGTGGCTGTGGGCTGGGGCCAATGCGCCAGGGACAGGAAGTCCACTGGAGGTTGTTCACCACTGTGTTAGGTTTAAAGGTGAGGGCATCCACCAGAGCAGGTGGGCGCCCCTCCCGGGATGCCTAGGACGCATCTGATAGGTGACAGAGGGCAATTACTTCAAGGCTGCTCCTGTAAGAACCCGTGGAGGGGCAGAGTAGAGAGAAAAACTGGAGGCCC